AGAGAGAGAGAGAGAGAGAGAGAGAGAGAGAGAGAGAGAGAGAGAGAGAGAGAGAGAGAGAGAGAGAGAGAGAGAGAGAGAGAGAGAGAGAGAGAGAGCGAGAGAGAGAGAGAATGGGGTGAGATAAGTTGATAGCAACGGTGACAGGTTTTCTGTTTGCGTTCGTATTTAGGGTTAAGCGTTATAAGAACAAAGTGCAGTTCGTTTGTGCATCCGGCAAAGGTCAATCAGTAATCATTTATACTGAACATGACTTTAATTAAAAGTGCAGCTGTCACTTTCACTGAACTTGGGCTGGATTAAAGTTTGCAAGTAGATGGGCGCGTGCAGTCTAGATCTGCTCGTGCTATGGAACAGATTTTCCACTTGCATCTTTACAGCTCAGTAGTTCGGTGTTAACGTGCGCTGTTTTTTTTCGATATTATAAGAGCCTGAGGTATGTACTTTCCAACAGTTGATAAACATGTACCTATATCCTATAACGACATTCCGATTTCATAATAATTATATCAGGAGTTAATAATTTATCATTATTAACTCCTGATTATATATAATCATATATATCCTATAATCTACTTCCTGAACTAACTTAATTCGTACGTTCCTGTAACTGCACTCCACGTGAACACCAAACTAGTTGATGCCAACAACAACGTACTTGTAGAGAGACTGGGTATATATATCCAGTTAATATTACTGAAATTAGATTCAGCTTTGCCCATTCAGCTTATTCACTCAATGTATTTTTTCCCTGTCACACAAACACGCACGATTGTGAGAATGCTACGTGGTTAGGATTGCCACCATGCTATTTACAAACAATTCCCAGCTACATATATGTGCATAAATGCCTGTTGCAGTTCTACAATCGTGCTGTTTACCTGTGCATGGCTCCCAGGTGTGCATCCGGTTGGCATAGTTTCTGCATTGCTCAGGGAAATGGCATTTCACTCTCAAGTGCGGATAAAATCGTATAACAAAACATTGGATATTAACATGCGTAACTGCATTTCCTAAGCAAACAGGATTAGTGGTAATCAGACCGAATATCTATGAATGCATGTACTAACGTCCCAATCCATCAAACACTGATAAAGAGTTGTCATTTCTACCATATAGCCTACCCGTGGTCACTATATTCTAGCCAGGAATCATGATTCTAACTAGACAACTATGGTCACTGTGAACTTTTGCCGGATAAGATGTTGGCTAAGTGATGGTTAGAAAAAAAAGTATATAAAGCTCAGGCAATTTCACCTTTGCTATGGCCAAAGGTATACGTGCGTGTTAGAATTTATTGAAAATCATGGCAAAGCTCTGCTGTGACACTGTAATTGAACAAGAACGCTAACTAACAGTTAGTGATCATTTGTACTTTGTAACGTGACCGCGCAAAGCTTTGTTGACAAGTGTACGATAAGGGCGAGCAGCTGCAGACGTCGCCACCCTGTCTTTATCCGCTAACGTTTTGTCCGCCGAGTCAAATAATCTTCTGCTATTTCCCGCCAAAATAACGAGGTGATGACGTGCACCGCGGACCAGCCAGCCATGCGCGCAAGCGGGCGCGATTGGACCGGCTCACCGGAGCACACATTGGATTGTATTGTATGTATGTATGTATCTATACAACCATCAGTCCCCCC